CTTACTTCTCTGGGAGCTTATTTGGGAAGAATCAATGTCCTAGGCCTCTGCCTTCCATCTGTCTCCCTCCAAACTTGGCTACTGTATCAACTCTGCTCCACCTAGATAAATCCTGTCTGGTAAAGTATTTGGCGTATATGGTACTTTCAGTACACTCGAGATACTACAGGCAGGATCTGATCTCTGTTGTGCCCCACACGAGGACCCAGGACAGTGCCTGGCAGACAGGAGTGATGTCCAACACACATGAGTGCTGAAGGAAAAGTTCTCAGTCATCCCCAACCTACAGAGTTCAGAACAGCAAGCCTACTCACGGATGTTAAATGTCTGAATATAACAGATCTTCCTTGAGTTATGAAGGATGTCATCCCAATAAATCTACTGTAAGGTGAAAATATTGCTAAGTCAAAGGTGCATTTAACACACCCAGTCTACGGAACATCATTGCTTAGCGTTGCCCACCTTAAACCTGCTCAGGACATTTACATTACTCTGCAGTTGGGCAGGACCAGCTGCTAGCTATTCTTGGTTTTAAAAAATGATCACTTCAATAGCAGCTAGGAATAAGATTCTGAAGAGTCAGGGCCTGGGCTAAGCATTGGAATGTATTTTGGACTTAATTCTAACAATAAGATATAAAATAGAAGCTGTCGTTACCCTGGTGTGATACACCAGGGTCCTGTGGCATGGATAAGTCAAGTAACTTGCCCAGTATTAATCAGTGACATAGAATTTGAGCTTTGTCTGAGGTCACATAATCTAGACACAGTAGAACCACATTTTCCAGATTTTTATAATAAATTGTATGCATTAAAAAAAGATTTATTTATTTATGCATACAGAACTGGGTACAAGCTAGAGGTGCAGGGGGTGAGAGGATTCACCAGAGACAGAGCGGGGAGCAGAACAGGCAGATCCACTGAAACACACTGCTGAGGGGAGCAGCGGGCGGGTCAGAACAAGTCTGCCGCACCATGTGTGCCAGATGCTGCAATCAATGGCTGCAGATAGCTTCATAGTGCTGTGCTTTAACCTGCTGTGCCACCTGGGAGAGCCCCTAAATTGTGTATATTTCTAATGTTCCCTACCTGAAATTTCTGTAATAAGAAATACTGCTTTGGACCCTCCCTGGTGGTGCAGCAGCTTAAAGCACAGCACTACAAAGCTAAAGCCACTTAGCGTGAATTTGATCCCCAACCCGGAGGTGACCCACATGGGCAGCAGACCTCTCCTGACCTTCCCGCTGCTCCCCTCAGCAGTGTACTTCTCAGTTGGCCTGTTCTGCTCCCCATTCTTGTCTCTGGTGAATCCTCTCACTGCCCCTGCACTTCTAGCCTGTACCCCAGTTCTATATGCACAAATAAATAAATCTAAAAAGAAATACTGCTTTCTATGTATTTTCTTCAGTGCTTTGCATGTGAACTCAAGGCTTGCTAGGTGAACGAATGGCTATCCCACAAGGCACTGATAAGATGTGATAACGCAGTTCAGGCATGGGAGAAAGTCACTTTGAAGCATCACCATGAGGAACAGTGTGGTTGTGGTAGCAATCTGTGGAGAAGTATGGTTAGCTTCCTAGATGCCCCCAAGACCCTGTCCTTCCATCAATCACACCTTTACCAGTGAATCAAGACTCTCTGTCTGAGTTCCCATAATTTTCAGGGCATCAAAATAGCCTTACTCTTTGGAAAGCCGCCCAAGTATCCCCATGGACAGACCTACAAGAAGAAAAATCAAGAGCAACTTGGTAAGGTGGCTGTGTGAGTGAGCCTCCTTTGACGCAATCCTGCAAAAAGTCTTCAGATGACTGCAGCCTCAGCCAACGTCTGATTTCAACCTCCAGAGAGACCCTGAACCAAACCACCTGAGTGAGCCATTCCTGAATTCCTGGCCACAGTAATCATAGAGAGGTAATAAATGATCATTATTGGGTAAGCCATTGATTTTGAAAAAATAGTTTACATACCAATACCAATAGATAAATAACACAAGCATACAAAATGACATCCACAAAGAAAAGAGGACTTGAAATAGACACATCAAAGGAAATGTGGGCGTCAGATCAGCAAAGCAGAAAAGAGAGTTCGAGAAAAAACCATGAGATAAGATAAGAAGCCAGTCACACAGAACCATGAGACCGAAAGAAATCTTTAAGGCCATTCAGCCCAACCTTTCATCTAATGCCATGCTCTACCCTTAAAATAATAAATCAAAGGCACAGTCTGCCCACAATTATCTAAGTGGGAGCCAAGAACAGGACTGACTCCTTAGTCCTCCTCTGTTAGTGAGAAAAGTGAGAACTATGTAAGTCAGAACGGAGGCCATTTTCCTGCATTTGAACTGAGGTCATTCCTAGAAGTCATTTAATAAGAAATTGGAGGAGGAAGAGGGAGGGAAAGAAGTGGGGAGAATAAAGAGGGAAAAGAGACGAAGAAAGAAAAGAAGACAAATAGGAAGAAAAGAAAAACAGGGTCCTCCAATGGGTTAAAGCGCAGCCCCAAGAAGCTAGCCACAGCCACTTTGGCACGAGTTCGATCCCTGGCCAGGGAGCTGACCCACATGGCGCAGCAGACCTCTCCTGTCTCACCCGCTGCTCCCCTCAGCAGTGTATTTCAGTGGATCTGCCTGTTCTGCTCCCCACTCTGTCTCTGGTGAATCCTCTCATCACCCCTGCACCTCTGGCCTATCCCCCATTTCTGTAAAAAGAAAAGAAAAAGAAAGAACACATCAGCACAACAGAAGAAGAAAGAAGAGAGAAGAAAGAAAAACTGAGAAGCCGTGGTGGCCACATTCCTAACTTTAAGCACATAGTGTTACCCCACCACACCTGGTCTTCAATTATTTCAGTTCTATTTCCTCCTTTCCTCCCCAGGAGAATTTCCTTTACCCCATTCTACTGAAGTGATGTAGAAAAAGTGAATAAACTCTGTAAAGAAGCAGCAGGTCACCAAATACCTACACTTCTTCAAGAAAAAATTATGAGTATATAGTTAAGACTCCAGCAGGATCCAGCCAAGAAAGAATTCACTCACAGCATAAGCGCAAATCTCCACGATCCCCGCTAAGTACACTTTGCTGCCCGATGCAAGAAAGTGTCCACGCTGGGAAAGAGCAGCATTCTCTGCCCTAACATCTGGTTGCAGATTTGGTTCCTTTAGAGACCAGCAGTAAGCCAAAGGACCCCAGCAGGAGGAGGGAATTCCCCCACAAAGCCAAAATCCTGTTTGAGGAAGTAGATACAGGCATTTGCCTTTAACATAAAGGAGATAAGGGAATTCATTTTGTAGGCAGTCACATTCAGGAGATGTGGCCATATGTCCAGTGGTCTAAGGAGAGGAGGTGGATACTAGGTCCAACTGGAGGAGGTTGAGACATTCCTGGGCAATGAATACAGATGCTAAACTAGGAATAGATAAAATAATTTGTACAGAGCCCTCCCTGGTGGCGCAGCAGGTGGGAGCTCCGCCCTGCGGAGCTAAGCCGAGCAGTGGCGGCTTCAGTGGCGGCTTCAGTGGCGGCTTCAGTGGCGGCTTCAGTGCGAGTTCAATCCCCACCCCAGAGGTGACACACATGGAGCAGCAGATGGCTCCTGTCTCCCTGCTGCTCTCCCTCAGCAGTGTTCTGCTCCCCTCTCTGTCTCTGGTAAATCCTCTCACTGTCCCTGCACTTCTGGCTGTACCCCATTTCTGTATGCATAATAAATATTTTTTAAAAATTTAAAAAATACAATTTGTACAACTTATTGTAAGGTGTTAAACTAGTTGGTCATACTTAAAATTAAATTTAAAATGTAAATGATTTAAATTTAACTATTAAATTATTTAAGCTCAAATAATTTAAATTATAAACTTAAATTTAAAAATTAAACTTTAAATTATAAAGGGGGAATTACCCTAAAGATCCTGAAAAACACAGCATACACCAATCAAAGGCCCATAAAGCAATAAGCAAAATGTCTTAACCTCTAAGACCAGACAACTAGGCCTTGAACAAATACCTACTGAGGCGTTGATGCAACAGGAAAGGACAACCGAAGGGGAAGTCTGGGAACTCGTACAAGATCTCCCAAATGTGGAGCCCAAGAAACTCGCCATGTGGTTAGAGGGTGGTTAGGAAGATATCTGAGAGACTTCTATTGAGAAGATGAGCCATAAAAATAAATTCTTTCTCGGAATAAAATGACATGACTTCTTGAAACAATGGCTCACAGGAATTATCAAGCATATGGGCCAAGCTGATTTGAAAAGGATACTTTGCTGTCCTCTAAAGGGTCCAAGAAAGTATTCCCTATCACTCAGAGCAAGCCCCGTGGTCTAGGGCAGGGAGAGACTGCCCGTGCGGTTTTGCATTTCCCCACAGCCCACACACCAGGCGTGTCAGGGGGTAGGTACATGGCAAAAGAAGCACCCAGGGGCTCCCTGGTGATGCAGGGGGTAAAGACACAGCACTATCAAGCTGTCCCCAGCTCCTGCAGCACGAGTTCGATCCCCAGTCAGGGAGCTAATCCACAAGGCACAGGAGACCTCTCTCCTGTGCACTGCTCCTCTCAGCAGTGGATTTCAGTCCGCCTGTTCTGCCCCCCACTCTGTCTCTGGCAAATCCTCTCACCCCCACACTTCTGGCCGACATCCCAGTTCTTGTATGCATAAATAAATAAATTTTTTTAAAAAAATAGCATTTGGGCCCTCCCTAGTGATACAATGGATTAAAGCACAGTGCTATGAAGCTAGCTGCGGCCACTGCAGCACGAGTTCAATCCCAGGCCAGGGAGGTGACCCACATGGCGCAGCAGACCTCTCCTGTTCTGCCTGGTGCTCCCCTCAGCAGTGTGTTTCAGTCAGTCTATGTTCTGCTCCCCACTCTGTCTCTGGCGAGTCCTCTCACCCTCCACACCTCTGGACTGCCCCCTAGTTCTTGTATGCACCTAACACACCCACCACACCCTCCAGGAGCTCAGCACCAAACACCCCAAGCCCAGGCGCTCCCCGCTCTGTGATTACCATCATTGAAGCTGTCACTGGTGGTGACGTGGGTGAATGGTGACTGGGCCCGGGGTTCCTCACACAGGGAGTAGCTGTGCTCGGCCTGGATGAGAGGCGCTGGGGAGGTTGGTGACGGCTCCACCTCCATCGACACGCTCTTCTCAGAGAGGAAAGGGTCATTCAGGAGCTGACCCAAGACGTTCTGGGAAAATTCATCCAGAAGTTCTGAGAAGTGCTAAAAGAAAACAAAGAAAGAACTCAGTTTCTCTTAGCCATGATCTAATATTGACTCTACACACATATTTTAAGACAAACACATCATCCACTGCTTCAAATGAAGTCACTCATATACAATGTCTAGTTATCTCTGGCCTTTAGCAAAGCACCCCAAGGCTTTAGTGGCTTAAGATAACCACAGTTTATTATTTCTGGCAACACCATGGGTGGTTGGCGGGGTAGGCTGACTTCCTCTGGGTTCACTGGGAGGCTGCCATAAGAGGAAACTCACTGGGGGAGGATGCTGCACTGGGACAGATGGACACCTGGGTCTTTTCTTCAAGAGGTTATACAGGATGGGATTCCTCATGGAGCGCAGAAATGTTCCAAGAACCAACACCAGTTGGTCCCAGAAGCCATCTATCATCTTCCCTCATAAGCTCGCGGTCAAAGCTAATGACAGGCCATCGCAGGTGCACAGAGTGGGAACAGATCCCACCTCCTGGGCAGAGAAACAATAAAACCACACTGCAGACGAGTGTGGACAGAGCACAGCAGGAGTCACTGGAGGCCATTGCTACGACTACCCACTGCATTCTGCGTTGGGAGTCTGTTAAAAGAAGCTGTTCTATAAGAGCACCAGGGTGCTATTTATAGCAAGGTGCCAAGTTCAAAGGCATCAAAGGCAGTTTGTCTCTATCATTCCCTCCACCTGGACATTGTTCTTCTCTAGTTTCCCTTAATCTTAATCTCTTCTCATCTTTCATCTCCCAAAAACTCTGTAGTTGCCACCTGCCAGGAAGATGATATATTCCCAGGGATTCCTACATTTCTTGCCCCACAGCTCAAGGTAACTGAGCCTCATCCACTCACTCTCCTTCATTGACTGGGGAGCGTCATGGCATGAAAATCTCTAGCGGATTCTCAATCTCAGCACTACTGACATTCTGCATTGAATATTTTCTTGTTATGAGGATGGGTTCTTATGCATCAAGAATGTTTTAGCATTGGGACTGTGGTGATGGCACATGGGTGACCTGGTGGTGGGAAGTCCACGGGGATTTCAACTGAGATGAAAAAGCATACATTGCACAAAAATGAAGGACGATGTAAAAAAATATATTTTTTTAAAAAGTAATTATAATACAGTGAAAATCAAAATCATCAGGCAACAATAGATCAGTGACATCCTGTAGGGGCGGAGGAGGGAGAGGGACCAGGACAGGGATGGGAAGAACACAAGGGACTATGGTGATGGAGCACGGGGGAGTTGGGGTGGGAATTTCACGGGGAAACCATACACTGTGCAAAAATGAAGACGATGTAATGAATATATTTTTAAAAATTAAAAACAAAAAAGAATTTTATCAGCGCCCCTGACCTCTACCTAGACATTAGTAGTACTCCACTAGTTGTAGAAACCAAAACTGTCCCCGCAGACGGCCAGATGTTCCCAGGGAGGAGAGGCACCTCGCGACACCGTATATCCTCTGTAAGAGTACTCGTTCAAGTAGTAATTAGATGCCATGAAATTTAAAAGTTCATTTCTGCACCAGTGGTTGGCGTCAATTCCTCCTTCTTACCATCCCGAGTCACTGACTGACAGTGTCATGCTTACTAATGCTACTTTTAGGGTCACGTCTGGTGTGGGAAAGGAAGTTATGAAGCGGTGTCAGCCACAGAACTGAGCGCAAATGGCGACACTTGGGGTCGGCAATGACACCTTTGGGATTCAGCTGGGCTGAGTCCTACCACTGGAGTGTCAGCGAAGGCGACGTGACATGAGGGCAGGAAGGGTGCTAGGTGCTGTTGCTAGAAGAGGGTGGTCATCACAGCTGTCCTTTGACAAAGAAGAGAAACAGGTAACACTTGTAGACAGAAAAGAAAGCAAGGCCCATGAGAAGACTTTTGAAGCTCCTCTCCATTTCCCTTAATTCTCAGAGTTAATCACCACCCTGAGTTTGCCATTTTATCAGGCCTGTCCAGTTCTCCACGTGTTTACCTACATACCCATGTTTCTAGCACACACGTGTGTTTTTAAAACTTTAAATAAAACTCATTATTCCTTACACATCTCCTGCAACTTTCCTCTTTCAAAACAATTGTTTTAGATTTATTCGTGTTTACTCTTCTATCTCTATTTTCATCATTTCAATTTTCTCAATTGTATTCCATTGCATTTATCTATTTCCTCTTGGCAGGCATTTACAGACTTGTAGGACATATGATGCCATACAAAGTACTTTCCAATATTAAGGGAAAATCTGAAAATATACAAATCCTGTAATCCACCTTCAGAGAGCCGGTAGGTCTAAGGCATTTATGTTAAAACCACTACCACCAAACCTGTGATTCTCAAACTAACTTAATTTTTTTGACTACTGACAGTTCACCCAGTCCATTCACTATCCCTTCCCTGCACCACAGAACAATAACATCTAGAAAGGTACAAAATCCCTAGAAGTTCAGATAGGTCCAAGGTTAAAGGAAGGTTCAAGGATTAGTTTTTAGCTACTGTCTACAAACGTCAGCCAGGACGCGGGGATGCAAAATGTTAAATAAGAAGACAGCAAAAGAACTTGCCTTTCCTGAGCTAAGCATTTCAATCAGTGTATCATCACCTTTTATGAGCAGAGGCATCACCTGGATAGATTAAGACATATATACTAATTTCACAATTCTGGGGCCCGAGATTCTGCATTTCTAACCCACTTCCAGGCAATGCCAGTCCATGAACCACTTCTGTTGCAAGGAGCAGAATGGCTGGCAGGCAAAATTAGAACCTAGATGTCCTAATCACAGAATAATGCAAAGTCAGGAGCTGATTCCCTAAGCAAACTTACTTGTCTGATGTGAATATTCCACAAATCACAGTAGCAAAAAGAGGAACAAAAAATAGAGAAAGAAAAATAGAGAAACCAAGAGTCAAACTCACAGTCCAAGTCACAGTTCTGACCCTCAAGCTACAGGGTCAACTCTGACCCTCTGTGCTGGCCTGCTAAGCCTCTGGGGCCCCTCTATTACCTGCAAGGGGAGCGCCCCTACTTTCCCAAGGAAGTTGCCCCGGTAGAGTGCTCTGCTGACATTGTGTTTTCTCTCCCCAGGTAGCACTAATGAATGTTTTCATTCATTAGAACATCCCCTAGGTGAACAATAACCCTTCTGTAACTCCCCTAACATTCCCTGTACCCTTAGCTGTGTGGCAACGATCGTGTTACCCAACAATTTACCCCTAATGATAGACAGTCCTCAGAATTCACAGTGATTATCAAGTGCATATGATAACTTTCCCTCTAGAAAAAGAACCCGCACAGAAGGAGAGACCAACTGGAACCTGACTACTGCCCAAACCTAGGAATGAAACATCAGGTTCCAAGGAGGTTCATGGGTGAGACTTGAATTTGGAAAGATAGAGCCAGCTGTCCCAGAGAGATGGGTGACTCAGCCAGCAAATCAGTTCCAGCTGGGTCTTCTTGGCAGCTGGGGGCCCCGGGGCTCAACACACGGTCAACACTCCATTGCACATGCTTGAAACAGGCCAGAGTGAACCCACCCCGATGCCAGCCAGTGAGAGCAGGCCAAAAACCAGAGATAGGAACAAAGTAAGCCTCGAGGAGGGAGCCCTTCTGGACCCTACAAATGCTTTCACAAAGGGCCCACTCACAGGAGCCCAAAGGTTATGAAATGTTAGGTGAATGCTTTAGAACACATGCTCTATGTCTACCTAGTACCTTAGTCAACGCTTCATAGGTTTGTAAAACACTTTCATGGTGTCGCCCTGGTGGCAAGAGGGGTTAAGTCTCAGCACTGTGAAGCTATCTGCAGCCACTGCAGCTCAAGGGCCATCCCCGGCCAGGGAGCTGACCCACATGGCGCAGCAGACCTCTCCTGTCTCTCCACTGCTCCACTGCTCTTCAGCAGTGTATTTCAGTAGATCTGTCTCTTCTATTTCCCACTCTCTCTGGTGAATCGTCTCAGGACCCCACCCTACCTCTGGCCTGTACCCCAGTTCTTGTATCCATAAATAAGTAAATCTTTAAAAAAAAAATCAAAGTACTTTCTTGATCTTCAATCAATGCTCACAACAATCCAGCTCCTGTCTGAGAGGGACCTTGAGGGAGGTCCTCTTACTTCAAATTGCCTGTACATTCCTACGCTGCTTCTCCCGGGAGAGAGGTATTGAGCTCCACCATGTAATTGCAGGAAACTGCACCCAGTATAAAGCAGGATGATCCTGCCCGCTGATGATGATCGTGGTGCTCAGGGGCCAGGCTCAGTGATGAACTGAGTGCGTGACATATTAGGCTTTCAGAATGGAGCTAGATGCTTTCCTAGAAGGCACACACATCCCCATTTATAGATGAGCAGATCAGGACTCAGGGTCAGTAGGTGTATAGTCTGAGGTTGCACAACTGACAGAAGGTGGACTTGAGATTCTCCCCCAAGTCTAAGCGCACTTTCTATTACAGCTGACACATGGTGGAGATCACGTTTAAAAACAAAATAAACTCACCAATAGCCCACCTACTCATCCACTATGAGCACCATCCTTTTGCATCCCCGTGGGTGGGTGGGTGGGGGGTTGGGCAGAGAAGATGGAGGGGAGTCTTGTGACATAGACAAGCTCCCAGTACTATCCTTTCATTTTCCCCTGTACCCACCAGGAAACTTCCTAGGACAGATTCTTAAATCTGTTTTTAAAAAGATTTATTTATTTATGCACACAGAACTGGGGTATAGGCCAGGGGTGTGGGGGGCAGGGGGAGAGCAGTGAGAGCATTCACCAGAGATAGAGTGGGGAGCATTGAAATATACTGCTGAGGGGAGCAGCAGGTGAGATAGGAGAGGTCTGCTGCACCCTGTGGGCCACCTCCCTGGCAGGGGATTGAAATTGTGCTGCAGTGGTTGTATCATATGATAGCTTCATAGTGCTTCACTTTAACCCATTGCACCTCCAGGGAGGGCCCAAAACAGATCTATTTCTATTGCAAAGTCATCAAGAAATTTTCATTTTCTTGA